CAAAAAAGTTTAAAAATGAAATAAATTAAAAAAATTGGCTTCAAATGCTTTCAGGTCTAATTTTCAGCTGTTTGAAGAGTTCTGCTATGACATGCTCGTAAGCAGCATCATGCATTTTCATGCACACTTGTTTTTTTAATGATCTTCAGTTGTGAAGGACGTTCACTGGAGTCTTTGTGTAAAACTCAAACAGAAACTTGCAGTATACTTTTTCTGCTAAATCTTACAGCATGAAGATTTTAATTTATGTTTGTATTACACCCTTCGCCTGTCTTTATACTCAGTATATTGTGTCGACACTTCCTGCCAGGTGATCTTGGTTTCAGCCAACAAGCTGACTCGTTACATTGAGCCCTCTCAATTGACAGACGATTTCGGAGGAAGTCTGGCCTATGACCACATTGACTGGTTCTGCAAGAGATTGGTGACTGAATAATTTAAATAAATTCATTTACGTTTCTTACAACGTATCATAAAGTGTGTGTTGCCTAACTTGCAGTCTTTTTGATTTATTTAAGGTTTATGAGAAGTTTACAAAGGAGTCGACGTTGCTGCTGGATGAACTGTCAGTTATCAACAACAGTGAAAAGAGTGCAGCTGTGGACAAAGACAAGTAGGCGTTAAGACACACACATACAAATCCACACAGGGACCCATAACTTTAATGCAAACTGTTTTTTTCCTTTGCAGATCCACAGACTGTTCTCTCTTGCCATCCTGTGATCCTGAGACTGTCCTTCAGGCAGGTAAATATCTTTTTCTTATATTTAAATCTCAGTTGCAACAAGTAAATGTTAAAGTGCAGCATTATATTACTAAAAGAAATACATCAACCTCTGGACTTTCAAGGGCTCTGGCAGAATATCACTCTTTGCCTGAAGAACTGATTATCAAATGCCAGCAAATAATAGTTAGCTTTAAAGCAACATTTGCAGCAGAACTAGTCCTGAAACTACACATCTCGTACTACAGTACTTATTTACCCAAATGAAAAAAATCTATAAACATATTATGAACAAGCCTCAAATTATCTTACTTATGAAGCAATGACTTGAGTTTTAAACTGCTACTTTTGCCAACAGGTATAGATATATTAGGCATACAGTAGTCCCTCGCTACTTCGTGGCTTTTCAAAATAAGATTGGACACGACACATAACTGGCTGATTGATGGATGAGCCGCACGATCGGCATGGACTTTTTATTTAAAATAAATTATTTAGCACCTATTTGTGATCAGCTGATCTCTGTGCAGCGTGGAGAAGTGGGCGTGGCTAAGAGCGCTTGCATGTGGCAAAAAGCAGAGAAGGCAGGGAGCTGAAATCATGACATTCTGTGCTCGTTTAGAGTTTAGAAACATTGTTTAGAATATTGCAAGAGTGTGGGAAGGGTTTAAAACACCTTGTATATATATATATATATATATATATATATATATATATATACCAAAGAGGCATGGGGCTAGGGCTGCAACAACGAATCAATAAAATCGATAAAAATTGATGATTAAAAGCGTTGGCAACGAATTTCATTATCGATGCGTTGTGTCGCGCGATTATGCGTCTTTCACAGCGCTGCGGAGCTTTCTCGTTTTGTTCACAGGCAGTTCATTGTCAATGCTGACTGACTGAATAAAGTTTTAAAAAAAAAAACTCTGCAGCGCGAGTTGAACAGAGCGAGGGGGGTGGAGGAAACAGAGCAGTGGCGGTGTTTTCAAAGCAAAATAAGTAAATTTTACAAATGACCGACGCAGCGAAAACTGTTCGACCCAAGTCCTCCAAAGTGTGGGAGAACTTCACAAAGATAAAAAATGAGAATCATGCCGCTTTGAAAATCGCCGACACGACACGGGAGAACCACGGAGATAAACGTAAACATGTCTGAGTCACGAGGAGGAGGAAGGAGCTGCAGCTGATACAACTCTTCATGTGTTGCAGGTGAGTCTCTACAATTTAACACATTGTTCTATTTCCAAGAGAGAAAACGTAACGTCAGTCTGTCTGGTAGATGAAGCTGCTGTTTGTTTGTTTGTTTGCTGATTAATGACGGTGATAGTGAACGTGTGTGTTACTTTTTATTTAATGTAATTGGTACAAGCAGTGTTTAAATGTGATTTATAAATAAATCTAACACAAAAATAATAATTTAATGATTAAGCTTCAACTTTAATTTTCTGGCAAAGGCTGAAGATACTGCAGGTATGGCAGGATGAATTGCATTTAAACAGGAATTAAAGTAATTTATTACATCTACTCAAATGTGTGTAATTAAGTATTTTATGTGTGTGTGTGTGTGTGTTTAATTGCTCTTTTAGCTACTTTTGCCTGAACCTAACACTGTAAGTGAAACAAGGCATTTCTTGAGTTGCTGTAAATTATGCTATAATAACATATTTACCCTCTCATTCCAGAAAACAACAAACAATGACCGCTTAATGATGGACAGACATCATGCACACCACAGCAGCAGCTATCTTCACTGAAAACATTCTTAAAAATCCCGAAAAAATAATCGGCCAATGAATCGATTATTGAAATAATCGTTAGTTGCAGCCCTAATCTTTATACCTGCAAAATATGTAGCTACTTTGTAAAATGTGTCCTTGGGGGAAGAGTGTAACCTGGCTTTCCTCCCCCCTCGCTCTGTTCAACTTGCGCTACAGTTTTTTTATTTTCAAACTTTATTCAGTCAGTCTGCATTGACAATGAACTGCCCGTGAACAAAACGGCTCTGCAGCGCCGT